GGTTTTAAGACAACTGCATAGTTCATTGATTGGGATGCCGTGTTCTCTAAATATCTATTTTTGAATAAATCAAGTTTTTTTTCAACTCAAACCTTATCCAAAGTAATCAAAAATATTAAACATAAAAAACCATTCCCACCACTTAACGGTTTCAATATATTTTAAACAAGTATTACTAAGAGTATACTCAAACTGTTATCGAAATAACTTTCTATCTGTTGAATCTTACCTTGTTCAAAATTCATCAGAATTGCTTGCTCTTGGTGAAAGTAATTTAAATTTGGTTGTTTCTTCTTTAGATCTCTTTAAAGATGGTGACTACCCTCTAATTCACAAAGACTACAATAGTAGCATACTTGGATTGGGCGTATACTTACGCATCAGTTCACTTATTTGTCAAGATATTAAGTTTGAACTCTTTGATCGTTCTTTTATGTTTTTCATTTTAGCATCTCTTTATTCAATGATCTTTCATTTTGATTTTTGACTGTTCTCGTACTTCTAAATTCTGTACTCTTTTAGATGTAATTTCTGATCAAATTGAATATGCCCTTTCTTTTATTTCTGTGCCAATATTATTATTATTCGTGAATGTTTATTGTACTGGGCTCTGACACTGACCATGATGACACTAAAGCCTATAACTTCTGTAAACACAATCTCTTACTCAGATAGTTCACTTTGTGACTCATTTTCCAGACAATCTAAATTAACTACTCCTTGATTTATGTCTATTCTCTGATCCTAACTTGTGTTCAGTTTCTCCTTTTTCTTCCTAAGGTGGTTCAGACCATGCGATGATCTTTATAAATTTTTTATCTCATACTTTTTATTTGGATTAAAAAAACAAAGAGTACTCAACTTGGCTCTAATTTTTTTTTTAAAAACAAAAGGTTAGATGACTTTAACTAAAATTTCACTTTAATTTATGAAATTTATTTAAAAAATTTTAAACTAATAAAAGCTAATAAAAAGTCTGTCTCATTGCATTACTTTTAATACTACTATAAAGCTGACTGGGATTCCTTACGTGATTTTTTTTTGTGACGCTTGTGAGCAAATAACATTTTATTTCTCCACTGGTAAATGCGCCTTCTACTTAACCTGAAAACTTAACTTCTACTTAACCTGAAATCAGGCTGGTATGGAAGCTTTTATTCATTTTTGTTGGTTTGAAGTCAAACCTCATTCTATTATTTAGTTTCACCTTCTTATGCAGCTGCTATATCTAATATAAGAGGTAGCAAAAATGACAGGTATATTAAAAAAAATAAACAGTTAACTCTGAAAGAGACAACTGAAAGGAAATTGTGTTAGCACATTAATGATTTGAAATCAATAAAGTATCATTACTTAATTGGAGAAATGATTGCCTTAGACAACGAATCATTATTACTTGTCGAATACACTTTAAAAAAAAAATACACTTTATTCCATCGTCTACATAAAAAATCAGATATTGCCCTAGAACTTCCGGGCTTTTTTATTGATAATCAGTTAATAAAGAGAGAGCAATCAATATAGTTTTTAGGCGTGTTTCTAGACGAAAATGAAACCTGGAGGGAACATATAGGTGTAGTTGAAGATCAAATATCGAAAAAGTTAGGCATAATCTACAAAACTAAGCTGTTATTAAATCAATCTTGTTTAAAAAACATTTACTTTTCTTTTACTCATTGCTACTTAAGTTATGCAACATTGCTTGGTGTAGTACTAACGCAACGAAAATAAACAAAATTGCTTAGCAAACAAAAACAGGCTATAAAGATAGTTCCAAACGTAGATCGTTTCTCACACACACAAGCACTATTTAATAAACTCAATATCCTAAATGTATATAAGCTAAACCTCTATCATGTTCTTATTTTCATTTTCAAACTTGATAAAAATATATTACCTATCTTATTTTATTCAATTTTTGAAAAAATAAATCACAAAATAAAAAATAAACCACATATACCCTTCTAGATTTTTAAAATACAACTACATTCAATCCAAAACTTATTATTCCGCTACTAAATTCTCTATTGTAAACCGAGGACCAAAGTTGTGGAACACAATATTAAAAATAATGAATTGAAAACTAATTATTCTCTAACAAAATTTAAGCAATTAATTTTGTTAACTGAAAATGAATTAAATTTTTTCTAATAAAGCTTCTTTAAATTAGAAATCAATAACTAACAGTTAATTAATTAGTTACTTTAGATTATTAATACATAATTAATCAACATATGTACATATATTTTTATTATTTTAAATGATAATCTTCTTTTTGAGAAATTTATTTTTATTTTTGCGTAATTTATTAATCTTTTACTTTTATTTTTTTACTGTTTATTTGCTTTGACTTAATTGGCAATTAAAAGTATTATGAATATAATTAAATAAGTTAAACTATAAACTGCTCTAATAATAAAATGTTTTTTATATAAAATCTTATCTTCTTATTTTTCAAACTAATTCTTAAATGTCATTTTTGTCATTTTAACATTTTATTAAATTTTGTTCCTTTTATTTTATAAAATAATTCTTAAATTTTATTCTTTGCAAAACTAGAAATTTTAAACGATATGCGATATATTTACATTTTCTTTTATAATATAAATCAGAGATATATACATTTAAACTATATTTTATTGTTAAACTACATTTTTTCAAGTAATGACGCATTTTTTGGGGCTTAATGATAATACTAAACTTGTCTTCCTCTAGCCACGGTCATGTATTTATTTTTTATACGTTACGACTGTAAATTTTTTTTATCGGCAAAAGTATAAATAAATATAATCATGATTCTTTAAACAACTAAACACCTGCTTAATGGGAGTTAATGGAACATTATATATAGCTTATCAAACCTTTATCATTTCTTTCATTTCTAAGGTAATTCCACATGTTGTCAAGTTGTTAAAATACATTGGTAAGAAAATAAAAGTACAGAACACCGAATTAAAATACCTGGGAAATAAAAAGAAAGAACAGAATACCGAATTTATCAACAATGAGAGCTTTGTTTCAATCTGAACATGAAGCGTGGTTCATACCCAGTTTCATACCCAGTTGAAACTTTTCTTGACCAGTACTTCAAAACTAATTTCTTGGGTATAGTAGGAACACAAAGAGCAAAACAAAAATTCTTTTAGAAGCTCCAAAAAAATGTTTTGAAGCGTCTATTAGAACTTATCTCAAATTTAAAAGAAAAAAAATGTCAATGTAAAAAAGACCCTTACACGTGCTGGTCAGCTAATGCAAAGCAATATCTAAGCCTTGCAGAATTTATTAAGATTTATTTATTCTCTCCAAGTAGTAGTGTGTATAATGAGCAGCTATTTTCGGAAGCAGGCATAATTTACGAGTAGAAGCGCAATTGTTTTCAACAAATGCTCAAAAAGTTTTATTCGTCATAATTTATCACTCATAGATTTCAAGTATTTAACTTGTTTTAAATAAAAAAAATTTGGTGATTAAAAGAATCTTATATATATAATATATTTATTATTTGATTATTCTGTTTAATATATTATTTATAGTAATATAATCTATTACTATAAATAATATATTATAATCTAATGCGTGTTTCAGTATTCGGCCGAATAGTTAGCAATATTCGGCCAAATACCAAATAGTATAAAATGTTGCCAAATACACCAAATATTGAATGGTTGCCAATTATTCGTGGCATCTCTACTTTTTTAAATTAAAAAGTTTTTTCTTTAGAGTCGTCAATTACGGTTTGCATGAATGTAATTATTTAGAACAGTGTTATTGGCTGTTTGTGACATTTAAAACGACTCAGGTCCGATTTATAAGGTTCATTTTACTTACAAAAACTTGATAAACTTTACAAAACTTGATAAACTTAATAAAAACTTAATAAACATTTTTAATAAATTTTTTGAAAAATTCTTTTTTTGTACAAAATTCTGTTTAAAGATTTAAAGATTATACAAGTATAATGTTTACGATTATTACAACTTTTTTTTCTCTCTCTATTTTTTAATCTTTATTATTATATTTTTTGTCTAATTAAAAATATTAAGTTTTAATTTAAAATTTGGCTTTACTTTTAGCTTAATAGCTTGTATATATCTTAAAATGCTATGAAGTTATGCAATTATTTGTGAAGTTATACAGTTACTTGTAAAGTATTTCAAAATGTATGCGGTAGTGGTAGAGCGCTCACCTCATAAGCGAGAAGTTCCGAATTTGTTTCGCACCACGTTCCTGGTAGTACTGTGCTTAACTTGTTTCTCTGCACAGCAACTTTTTTTCGAAAAAGTTCGCGTTTCGGATTTATAGAGTTGAGAGAGGGTTTTAACCACAACTAAAGCAGCCTTCTTGACTGTAATGGCCTGTAACGTAATGGACTGTAATGTAAAAAAATAAAAATAAAAAAATTTATTGTGAAAATGCAGTTAGTATTTTTCTGCTTAGTTAAAAATAAACTTTTAAGATTTCAACATTTTTTAAATAAAACTATAGATAAGAAACTAAAAGTGAGTGATATATAATAAAATTCCCTTTTTTCGGTCAACTAGATCTAAAATTAGTTAAATAATTATACATTTATATCTGCATTGTTTGATTTTGATAAATGATTAGCATCTTTTCAAAACTAGCTTAGTTTTTTTAAATATTTAGGAATCCAGAACCAAAACCAAAACAAAACCGGATTGTAAAAGAAGTTTAGAAATATGTAGGTCACTAGAGCGAATAAGTCACTCAGTTAAAAAACCTGGAGACAGAGCAGGAGTCTTTTTTTCTTCTGCCTCAGAATAAAACAAGGAAAAATCTATTTTAAAACTATTTTAGCATTCATTTCCAAATATAATATATTTATAATAAATTTTATTATGTTTCAAGTTACTTTGAAAATATTAAAACAATTATTAAACAGGTACTTAAGCAACTAAATAAATTTGGTCTAAAAATATAAAAATATCATAGTTAATTTTTTTCTATTTAGAAATTATTTGAAAAAAAAATGTAGCATTATATATCATAATTATTTGTAAAAAGTTTTATTATATAACAAAAAATCATTAATTACAAAGTTCGAAATTAATCAAGCTTTCAGGTTTTAATAAAATCACAACATTTCCGATTCGAGACCACAACGCTGAAGCTTTGTTTTTATCAGGACCCCAGATCTCATCAACAAAATACTTCATGACTTTCTCCTCTTCTTTTATTCTGTTATAATTTGTATTGTTTTCAGGAAAAGAAAATGGCATCTCAGCTGTCATAATTATAGTAGATTGTGGAAAACTTATTACTGCACTATCAACGTGTTCATCAGCATAGTTCATGAATATACTTGCTGTATCATATGTCATCTGTTCAATATTTGTCACAACGACATACTTCTGAAGAGATTTTAAACTTTCCTGAATCTGATTATCTAAACTTTCTTTGTTGGCTCCTTCAGAAAATAAAGTATCATAGCTTTTATTTGTAAAAGCCAATCCTAATTCTCTTAAAAAGCATTTCATTGTCAAATTTGTTCCATCATAACCAGCTATTAGCATTGTAAATGGTTGTAGATTGCTTGTATCATTTTTAAACACCCTTTCTAGGTGTTTGTATCCAAGCTTATTTATCTTTTGCCAAAACATTTTCTCTTGATTTGAAAATATTTTAGTCATGTTATCTATCTTAAGCTGAAACACTTTAGGAGTTACATAATAATGATCTAATGGAAAAGTCTTTTGATTTGGAGAATCACTCGTGAGATAAGCTAACATAATGGATACAAGTACAACTAATGCGCATAATAAAATTCCATTCTAAAAAAAAAGAAAAAAAAATTAAAAATAAAAAACGTTTTATTGCAACAATTCTATAAATTCTATAAAAATATTATAAAATTTCTATAAATTCTATAAAAATATTATAATAATAAAATAATAAATAAATAAAAGAAAATGAAAGCAAAAATGAATAAAAAGGCAAATACTAAAAAAGAAGTAAAAAAAAAATTAAAGCAGATATACATAACTATGTAAATACTACACAGTGAACCAGAGTGACTGCCAGGGTAAGTTGTTCCTCAGGTCTGATTTTTTTCGATATATATTAGTAAACACCATTTATGGTATTAAGAATTTCTGGGGGCTGGACAAAGTAAAAAAATTGTTGTTTAAAAATTAAGTTTTTTAAATCATAAAAATGTTTATAAATTTTGGACAAAAACCACTGAAAATCCTCAAAATTGATAAATTGTGCAAAATATTTTGGGCTGTTTATATAAAATGTATGCTGTTTGTCTCACACAGTTTGGTAAAGTCATCTAAAACTCAAAAGATTACTCCAGCAATTAAAACATTGATTGTCTGGAACCAGTAAATTTAGGGGTAACCACTATCGTAAGATTTATATTATAATAAGACCAATATTATTGGTCTTATTGTCCAATAATATGGACAATAAGACCAATAATATTGGTCTTATTGTCCATATTATTGTCCCTCCAGTTTATTATTGTCCCTCCAGAATCCAAGATACTCCATCTTTCATCATCACAAGGTACATCATCTACATCATTTCAGACTAATACTATTGGTCTGAAATTATTGGCAATAAGACTAAGATGGAGTACTGAGGGAACTGGTGGGAGATGATATCCACAATAAAATTCTATGTTTTGTCTAATCTGTTTTGTAGTTTTTTTATTTTTTATCATTACTTTCTAATAAATACTGCTGTTTTATTGACATACATAGATTTTTTTAACTAAAAATATGGAATTAAGAAAACTTTTATAATAACATGTATGTGTTATTAAAAAAAACTTACAGTTTTCTCAATGCATGCATAAATTTAATGTATATTCAAATACATTTGTATATATATGCAAATGTTTATTGATATACATATACTTATAGTATAAGTATGATATAAATTGAAACACATATTGTATATGTATGAACATGTATTGTAAAAGTTATAGATTGCACAAATATACATTAGATTGCACAAATATACATTATTATATTATACAATATTAGGTATATTGTATAATATACCTAAGTTTTTTAATGTATGTGAATATACTGTACATTTAAATGTGATTTCATAGGATAAATAGACTATGTAATCTCATCACATAACATAGATTGAGACATTTAAGTATATTGTATATGTATGTACATGTAGTTATACATTACATGATATATATATATATATATATATATATATATATATACATATATATATTTATATAAATATATATAAAAATATATATATATATATATATATATATATATGTATATGTATATATATATATATATATATTTATTTATATATATATATATTTATATATATATATATATTTATATAAATATATATGTGTATATATATATATATATATATATATATTTATATAAATATATCTATCTATCTATCTATCTATCTATCTATCTATCTATATATATATATATATATATATATATATATATATATATATATATATATATATATATATACATATATATATATCTATATCTATATATATATATCTATATATATATATATATATATATATATATATATATATATATATATATATATATATATATATATATATATATATATATATATATATATATATATATATATATATATATATATATATATATAGTGGTGAAAAAAATAATAAATACACTATCTAAAAACCTGTTTTATTCACAGTAATTGATGTTATCTCATACTAATTTTTATTTTTTTATAAACCTTATTGTTAGAAATAATTTTTTTTTTTTTAATTATGAATTTTTTTTCAATTTTTCTTATGTTACTAACAATTTTGTATAAAGTAGCTGGAAATTTACTGGAAAAAATAATAAATACAGTAATGATTAATCTTTTTGTTTTTTTTTTATTTTCAACTGTTATTACTTTTCAAACATGTGTTTGACTCTGCTTATTATTAATACCTCGTAGGAAAAGGATTTAGAGGGGGTAATAGCCTCTTCCCCCATATTTATTTAGGAGGAGGGTCACTTCCCTTACCCTTACCCTTTAAATCTCCAACCCTTTTAGTCACTTTCCCTCAAACTGACATGACCTTCCTACGCTACTGAATAGTATTTTACTTTATATATTGAAACACAAACTATGTTCAATAATTTTTTTATGTTAATAATTCAATTTTTTATGTATGTTCAGTTATTTATTTACAGTTTACTAATGTATTGAATTAATATCATTTCAGTTAATTAATTACAATTAAGTAAAAAACATTGCTGAAGTTAAGAGATATTGCCTCTTACTTTTAATCTGTAAGTATTTTCAATATTTAAAAATATGATATGGTGATATTAGTATGTATATTAGTAAATTAATTCATACAACAGTTTTAACTTAGGATATTATGGGTAGAAAGTCACATTGCACCTCAGCTGAGCTCTTAGTAATTCAACGGCTTAAAATCAGTGGAAAGTCTTATAGAGAGATTTCAAGAATAACTAAGCGTTCTGTTGGAATGGTTCAAAATGCTCTGAAACCAAAAATATGTGTTGAAACTAGAGGTCGCAAAAGAAAAACAAATTACAGAGAAAGATAAATTAATTATTCGTGAAGCTAAAAAAGATCCATTTATCTCCAGCAATACCATTAAAAAAAACTTAGAATTAAATGTAACAGCACGAACAATTAGAGGACGTTTAGTTGAAGCTAACTTGTTTTCAAGATCACCTAGAAGTGTGCCTTTATTGAAAAAACGACATATAAAAGCAAGAAAAGAGTTTTGTCATAAATATTCTGAATGGACAAATAAGAAATGGGGCACAGTTTTGTGGACAGATGAATTTAAATTTAATATCTTTGGATCAGATGGTAAGCCGTTTGTTCGCAGACTACCAAATAAAGAGTTTGACCCACATTACACTAAAAAAACAGTTAAATTTGGTGGTGGAAGCATTATGGTGTGGGGATGTTTCTCGTCATCTGGTATTGGTGCTATCTACTTAATAACAGACAGCTGATATTTATACTAATATACTTGAAGAAATTATGCTTCCTTATGCTGAGGATAACATGCCGCTCTGGATATTTCAACAAGATAACGATCTAAAACATACAGCCTCTATCACAAAGAGATGGTTCCAAAATAATGTTATAAGACAACTGGACTGGCCAGCACAATCGCCAGATTCAAATCCCATAGAAAATTTATGGAAAATTGTAAAGGATGAGGTAGCAAAACAAAAGCCTTGGAACAAAAGGGATCTGTAAGAGGCTGTGAAAACATCATGGTACGCTATTCCACTACCAACATGTCATAAATTGGTCAACAGCATGCCCAAAAGACTAATCAAAGTTAAAAAAAAAAAAAGGACATGCAACAAAATATTAGGCAATTTTTGTAAATATTGTATGAAGTGATTAATAAACCTTTGTCAGAAAAAAAGAAGTTTTTTTTTGTTTATAATTGTTTTTAATTATTTTTGTTAAATATTTGTTTTATAAACATTGAATTTTCTTGATTTTTTCAAATATACTGATATCTTTTTTTTCAAATATACTTTTTTTTTTTCAAATATAAAATTTGATGTCTTGATTTTTTCAAATATACTGATGATTTTTTCAAATGTACTAATGATATATGATGATGATTTTTTCAAATATACTCCTGCTACTGATGTCAGGTCAGGTTTATCCTGCTACTGGTAACATGTAACCCAGTACAATCTGCTTCATGTCCTGCTGCCTTGTAGGATACGCCTTTTTAGGCAAAGGCTAGGAGATGCAAACTCCGACATAAAACACCCCCTGCCTTGGGGCTCTTGCTTGAGTAAAGGCTAGGGATGGTGTCTCGATAAAAATACACATCTTGGGCAGATGTTACATGCATCCAGCTGCTGTCTTGTAGAAGGCCTCCTAGGCAAAGACTTAAGGGGTAAACAGATTCTATCTGTTGACCAGCCTCGCACCCCTTCCTCATCTATTAGGCTGGCGCAGATGTATTTTTAATACATTGTTTCCAGTTTAGGATGTTGAACGCTGGATCTTCTTGACTCGATTCATGGGTTTTGCTTGTGTCTCTGTTTTTATGACTATGCAACTCATTCTATTAACTCCAAATGAGGGTACAGCTCTAAAACTCAGTTTTATGGTTCTGAGGCTGGCTGGTAGTCAGGTTTCCCGAACTCTGTGGTAGCTCTCAGAGAGGCTGATTCCATCAACAGCTGAAAAATATCAGAGTACTAACAGTGCCATGTTGCGCATGGATGGCGTCCCTGTTTGTACTTTTGGTGTGCATTGCCAAGGCCACATTAGAGTCCTTTGTTACGGCTTAGGGTTTATTAGTGGAAATGAGGCAATTGCTTAGACTATTTAATATTGTACTGAGTACTATCTGTGCTTTGAATCAAGTTCATTAACAAATTCAAAAATGACTAAAGTATCAAAAACTATAAAACACAAAAAAATCATCATCATCACCAAAGTTCTCTAAACCTATGATTCACTAATATTCATGTTCTTCGAAGTAACTTTTTTTCTGCTGAGTCTTATCTCTTCCAAAGTTTACCAGACCTACTTGCTCTTTGTGAGACTAATTTAAGTTCGGCTGTCTCATGTTGCGATCTTAGTGTTGATGGTTATCTTCCTTTAATCCGTAAAGACTCCAATAGTCACATGCTTGGCCTGGGCATTTACATTCGTAAGAATTCACCCATTTGTCGGGAAACTAGGTTTGAATCTACAGACTACTCTTTTATGTGCTTTCGTTTAGCACCACTTCACTCTATCACCTTTCTCTTTGTTCTATATCACTCTCCCTCAT